ATTGGGGCCTAGAACGAGTAGGGTGATGACCTAAAATTTTGCAGCGTAGTTGAAGATTCAATTTTTGTTTCAGCTCAATGAGATCCCACATCGGTTGGAGAGGAGAACGAATCATTCGAAATTTCTCCCATGTAGATGCATTTTAAAACCATGAGTCTGACCACGAAACGTAACATGCCAATACAGATAATATCTGCTAGTGGTAGACTTGGGCTGTTACAAATGGTATCAGAGTCAGTCACCGGACGGTGCGAGACACTAGTCGGTGCAGGACTAGACCCTCTCCATAGTTGACACGTTCTAAAACCCTTAAGGGGAAGATCGGAAGGAAAAGCTTAAAGAGGACAATATCTACTAACGATGGGTTTGAGCTGTTACAAATTGTATCAGAGCTAGACACCGGACGGTGTGCCAGCAAGAACGTTGATGAAACAAGAAAAAGAAACAACAAAACAACAAAAATATAAAACAAAGCATATGTTTGCTGTTTTTTCATGTGGTCGAAGCACATGTAATGATGGATTTGAGCTAAAGAGTAAAAGAACATTTGAGGTTGGAGGAAGAACAAGAAAGGAAATTAGTTCATTTACCGTTAGCCATTGAGCCTCGAAAGAACTAAGGGTTTGGCTGCTCTGATCTTTGGAGAGAGTTTCAGATGAAAGGGTTTTTGTTGGTTCTTTGTGGCTCAAGGTCAAGAGTGTGTGTGTGTATATGGATGCAACTACGTAGTGAATGATTTCTTTTTTTGTGTGTGTGTAGTTTTCTCCATCGTGTTTGTTTGTGCTATGAATTTGTGATCCATATTTGTGAAGGGGGCGAACAATGTAGTACCACAACTAAAATGTTCAGAAGTAAGTTCGATCGTACTCATACAGTCACAAATAGAAAATTAAATAAGGCGACACAAAAATTTACGTGGTTCGGATAGAAGAGGGGTGGTAGCCAATCATTATAACCAAAGTGTTTAAAAGTGTATCTCTCACACTCTCACACTTGCACAGTATAAAGTTTCTTCCAATTGTCTCTAGACAAGTAATGACAATGACTTCACACCTCAAAACAATGTTAGACGAGTCTTTATATAGGCATATCAATACTAATTCTCGTACATCAATACTAATATGAACCAAAAGGGTTATGAACAGAGTTAATAACCAAAATAAATGAGAACATGAACCATCAAGGGTTATGAACTAAATGAGAGTTGTGACAATACATTTTCATGACAACTTAGGACAATCTCTCTATTGTTGATTGTATGATTTTTTCCTTTGAAAAGGTTGACAATTAACCTTACACATGTGTTCAGACAAAATGTCATATTGTCTATGAGATTTGATGAGGTCACGCATCAACCCATGTCACCTTAGAAGCCCAAAGCAAGGTCATGAGAGCTTATGCTAAAGTGAACAATATAATACCATGGTAGAGATCTCTGATTCCTAACATGGTTCGTGTATAACATTATACTCGAAAAGGAAAAACCAGTTAGCGGTGCTTCGGATAACATTCGAGCTTGGTGGAAAGAAATGGTTAAATCATTGTCTTTGATGCAACATTTCAATGACTTCTTGGTCGATGTCAATTTAATCCAATATTTTGGAGCATAGGTATGCTAATTCTGTATATTCTGAGCCATAGGAATGAAGGTTTATACAAGTTTAGCTGCTAATATCTGATGAGAATGATGAGTGTCAAAGGCTCTCCAACCCCGACCCGACCCAACCCGTGCTACAAAGATGAATCTTCTGCTGTCATATCCTATGCTTTGCAAACTGTCAATCTAGTTGAGTTAACGAGGCCGAGTTATGAAGTTGCTGTATCAGCTGGGCAATTTCGATTTCGTTTCGATGTTACTGGTAGATCATATGTTTAGTAACCCGAAAAATAATTTGCTTTTCTAGTTGATATTTCAGCTTTCCTGGAGTATGTGATGGTTTTCAAATGGGTTAACTACACGAGTAGACCATTTGGAGATCGAGTTTACACAAATGTCTAGATTTTATAAACTTTTCGGCTCGAAGCCTAAAATAGGACTGGATTTACATTTAGGCCCTTTTTGTTATTTTGTAATTTTATGTAAATTCAAAAATTTAGAAAATAATAATAAAATTGAAGATTTTTCATTAATAAATAATATTGCACCGTATCGTAAAGATCATAGCATCAACGTAACAAAACACACGTCAAACAATCATAAACATGAAACGTGTAGGGGCCATAGAACACTCGTCATTCATACACTATACAAGTTATCCAATCACTACACTCCCTTGATGTTAACTTACAAGTCATCCAACCAAGTCAAAGTCAAAGTCACTACACTCTCTTGGTGCTAACTTAAATCTGCTTCTTGAAATCTAATTTCACATAAGAAGTCCAACAATCATAAATTTGAATTCTACTCTTGAAATTGACTCACTTAATTTATACAAAATGATCTAAACTTAGCACCAAATATTTAAATTAGTTAAAAAGTAGTCATACTGACCTTAAACGCATATATATCGTAGCTGGTTTAGACACCGGTCACTCCCCCTCATGTTTATGACATTATCTATATTGAGGCTACTAGATGGACACCAACTAATCTTTAGTATAAGTTGTTTTGTTTAACGGACTCACATATGTACTATAGTTTGTTATATAAGGATTAACTAATTGCACATCTAGACTAGTAAAACCTAGAAACATCCCTTATGTTCGAAGATAAATATGAATGGATGTACAAGATCTCAAGAACTCATTATTGTGTCCGCTCTATCACTATAAGTTTGAGACCTCGATGCACTTGTTTTTGGAGGTGCAAATAGGTGAAGGGCGAATTTGGTGAGTCGAGGGTTGCTTACTCTTTCACCTCAATGCACTTATCTCGTGATTGCTAGTGAAGATTGTTGGAGCCTCACATTGACTAATTAAGAAAAATATCGTAGGTATATTAGTAAAGGACATTATCTCTACTAATATGAGGCCTTTTGAAATACAAAAAGTAAAAGTCATGAGAAAATGACCGCCAAGACGTGCTCGGGTTATATGGAATTGAGTTTTAACTCAATTTTATGTTCGTTCAGTTGAAATTTTTACCCTTCATTTATTTACTCTACTCAATAGAGTTCAATAATACCATATATAGACATTAAAATTTATTACAGACATGTATAATAGACATTAAATTTTAACTTCTAAAAATCATATTTTCTGACGTGGACATCTCCCAATCATCCAACAGACATGTATTTTGACACATGGCTATTTCAAAATATTTTATAATTTGCTAGATATTTTTGTCTCTTCTGACGTGGAGCTCCCTCAGCTGTCTAAATTGATTACGTGTCATTATCGGTCTACATTTGGTGACTTGCTTTTATACATATAAATTGTAACCGCTGAAGCTGAAGCTCAAGCACAAGTCCAAGCCCAAACCCACCCACTAGCAAATATTATTCGCTTTAACTTTGATTTGTTACGTATTATCGTTAGCCTCACAGTTTTAAAACGGGTTAACAAATGAGAAGTTTCCACACCCTTGTAATGGATGTTTAGTTCCTATCTCCAACTGATGTGAGATCTCACAATCTACCCTTCTTGGGAGTCAGCGTCCTCACTGGTACACCCCCGTTGGCTGACTGTGATATCATTTATAATAGCTCAAGGTCATTATTAGCAAATATTGTTCGCTTTAACCCATTAGATATCGTCATCAAGCTTACGGTTTTAAAACACGTCTATTAAGGAGATGTTTCTACACCATTGTAAAAAAAATGTTTCATTCCCTTCTCTAACTCTCTAACTGATGTGAGATCTCATCAACTTACGGTTATAAAAAAAAAGTTACAACTCGAACAATTAAATTTAGTCTAACATATCAATCTGATCTAACGGATTATTTTTCTATCAACCCGACCCAATGAGTTTTCGAATGAGGAGGCGACAACGATACGTTTTTTCCTCTATCAATGATTGGTTATTACTTTGTTTTATTGTTTTTTTTTTCCTGTCTTCAAATGAAAGGGATTTTGATTTTATTTTGTGAATTATGATTGGTTACTTTTAGTTGTGGAAATAGACATTGGATTTTGACTTCTCAAAAAATGATATTTTTCTTTGTCTTTTCTCTCTCTTCTCCACCTACGTGTACCTCTCTTAGTCACCCAACAATTACATACGTGTCATTTATTTTCACCTTAAATTGACACGTGGAAACCTCAAAATATTTTGATGCACTTACTTGATATTTTGAGATTCTTTAAATTTAATTTAAATAAATAAATAAATAAGAAAAGAAAAATAAGGGAGGATATTTTAATTTATGTTTTTATGTTATATCTATTCTCGTCGTATATTCAATTTTCATCTACAAAATTTTATTTATTTATTTTCACGAGATCAATACGATAATTTTCAGTTGAAAATTTGCAAATATTAAAATTTTCATTTATTTACGGTATGCATTATAATATTATATATATATATAGAACTACAAAAATTTGGTTCGAGATGGAGACAGTGTAAGGTCGATTAAGTTAAAAATAATAATAATAACTTGCATGGTCAGTTCCAACGAACCCACGACCATATCTGAAGTCCAACACTTCAGCAAACCCTCAGATCTCACCTGTAAGAATAAAAAACACGAAATGCAGAGAGAAAAGGATGATAAACGATTTTGTCTCGTCAGACATAAACGCCAATGAAATAGAGACCTTCGATCTAGCTTACGGAAAGTGAGTAAACACGCAGAGGATTAACACGACCATTGTTTTGGAAAAATGGGGTGAACTCAACGAGTTTAGTATGGTTTCAAAATGTGTAATAATAGTGCTGACAACGATGAGTTCAAGAAAAATAAAAAAATTAATAATAAAAAAAAGCGTATTATTTTATTGGGCAGATATTTAGTTGCTTAATAAATAAATAAAGTGAGTTTTGCGTTACCCCACCGACTAAAATATCTTCCACTCTCTTCTCAATTTCTTCAACCGCTAAATATCAAACACTTACATAAAGCCCTCTCCGACAGAGTTCAGTTCAGCTCAGCTCAGCTCAGCTCGGTTCAATTCCATTCTTCTTCTTCTTCGATCCTGCAACAGTGACCTTTTTTCTGTTGATCAACCATGTCTTCATCGGAATCTAAACAAACCCCTTCATCCTACCATTTCGAAACCCCTCTTCTCGACGCCCAACACCCCTCCTTGCTCCACTCAATCTCCGACCAAGGTGGCTACGCCTTCGTCACCATGGCGGCTCTCGCAGCTGCCGGAGACTCATGCGCTGCCGAAACCGCCGCCGATATGGCCTGGGAACAGCTTCACTCTGGCCCCTCATCCTCTGTTCTCCCAATCTGGCGTGATGCCTACTCCATGGCTTGCCTCTACATGGCGAGGCTCCATTTTTCTGGTGGAGAGTTTAAGGAGGCATTAAGGGTTTTGGATATGGGTCTGATCATGGGTGGTTCGCGTTTGAGGAGTGATTTGGATTCTGCCATTGCTAAGGTCTCTGCCGAGGCCAGGATTGTTAGGGTTTTGGATGGTCATGTGGAGAGCTCGTTGGGTTGTGATGAGTGTAATGAAGAGGTGAGATTCTAGTTCAAATAAGGTTTAATAGATGTTCTATCAAGTAGTAACAATTGGTGGCTTTGACACATAGGTTGCTTGGAATTTGCCTGTAAAGTCTCTTACTAATAAGATGGTTGTGAAGATGTCTGGTTTATCTCTGGAGGGATTCTTGCGTGAATATTTCCAACCTGGTTTCCCTGTTATTGTTAGTGATGGTATGGCGCATTGGCCTGCTAGGACGAAGTGGAAGAGCTTGGATTACTTACATAGGGTTGCTGGTGATCGTACAATTCCTGTTGAGGTGATTTCTTTATCTGTTTGTTTGTTTATTATCGTTATCTGTATGTTGGATAGTCTTGGATGGTGAGATTCCACGTCGGTTGGAGAGGAGAACGAAGTATTGCTGATAATGGTGTGGAAACGTCTCCCTACCAAACATGTTTTAAAACCTAAACCCGGAAGGAAAAGCCCAAAGAGGACAATATTTGCTAACGGTGGGCTTGTGATGATACAAATGGTATCAAAGCCAGACACTGGGCGGTTTGCTAGCGTGGACGCTGGGCCCCCAAAGGGGTGGATCATGAGATCCCACATTGGTTGGAGAGGAGAACGAAGCATTGTTTATAAGGATGTGGAAAGCTCTCCCTACCATACAGGTTTTAAAACTTGAGGGAAAGTTCGAAGGGGAAAGCAAAAAAAAAAAAACAATATGTGCTAGCGGTGGGCTTGAGCTGTTACAAATGGTATCAAAGCTAGACACCGGACGGTGTGCTAGCGAGGTGTGCTAGCAAGGAAGCTGAGTCCTAAGGGGGTGGATTGTGAGATCCCACATTGGTTGGAGAGGATAACGATGCATTCCTTATAATGGTGTGGAAACTTCTCCGTACCAAACGTATTTTAAAACTTTAAGGAGAAACCTAGAAGGGAAAACCCAAATAAAGCAATATCTGCTAGCGGTGAGCTTGGGCCATTACAAAGGGCCGCCAAAGAGGGTGGATTACTCTGAAGTTGCTTGTTACTAGAATTGCAAATATATAAGATGCCTATTCCCTTTCTTGTTGTTCATCTATGTTTGTCATTGTTTGTTTCTATTGTAGCTTAACTCCTGCTGTCTCCTGCTGACTTGATATTGGAACTCATAGATTTTCCACCCCTGAACTGAAGACTTGTAAAGCTTTGATGCTTTTCAGGTTGGGAAGAGCTATTTACGCCCACAATGGAAACAACAGCTCATTACATTTTCCGAATTTCTTGACAGGATTCAGTCCAATGATCCTTCTCATGATATCACATACCTTGCTCACCATCCATTATTTGACCAGGCATGTATTATCTGCTTATCGTTTTACATTCTGTATGTGTATCTATGCATGTTCGTGCGTGTTCTTCAATACTTTCCTTTCTTCAAAGACAGATAAATGAGCTTAGAGAGGACATTTGTGTTCCTGATTATTGTTCTGTCGGTGGTGGGGAGCTAAGGTCTCTTAATGCTTGGTTTGGCCCAGCTGGGATAGTATCGCCTTTACACCATGATCCTCATCACAACATGTTAGCTCAGGTGTGTACTTTTTTTGTGAGATTCCACATCGGTTGGAGAGAGGAACAAAACTTGTGAGATTCCACATCGGTTGGAGAGAGGAACAAAACATTCCTTATAAGGGTGTGGAAACCTCTCCCTACTAGACGCATTTTACCTTGAGGGGAAGCCTGAACGGGAAAGCCCAAAGAGGACAATATCTGCTAGCGGTGGGCTTGGGCTGTTACAAATGGTATCAGAACCAGACACCGAGCAATGTGCCAGCAAGGATGTTGGGCTCTCAAGGGGGTGAATTGTGAGATCCTACATCGGTTGGAGAGGAGAACGAAACATTCATTATAAGAGTGTGGAAACTTCTCATTAGCAGACGCGCGTCTTAAAACCTTGAGGAGAAGCTCATAAGGGAAAGTCTAAAGAGGACAATATGTTCTAGCGGTGGGTTTGAGCTGTTACAAATGTATCAGAGCCAGACACTGGGTGGTGTGCCAGCGAAGACTCTGGGCTTCCAAGGGGGAGTGAATTGTGAAATCCCACATCGGTTGGAGAGGAGAACAAAACATTCCTTATAATGGTGTGGAAACCTCTTCCTAGCAGACACGTTTTAAAATCTTGAGGGGAAGCTCAGAAGGGAAAACCCAAAGAGGACAATATCCGCTAGCCGTGTACTTGCGCTATTACAAATGGTGTCAAAACCAGACACCGGGTGATGTGCCAGCGAGGATGTTGGGCTCCCAAGGAGGGTGAATTGTGAGATCCTACATCGGTTGGAGAGGAGAACGAAACATTTCTTATAAGGGTGTGGAAACCTCTCCCTAACCTATGCGTTTTAAAACCTTGAGAGAAAGCCCAAAGAAAACCAGAGGACGACTAGTAGGATTGTTACACTTTTAGACCATTTTTCAACCAAGAAACTGCAGTTAGTCGAATACTTTTGATACTAAGCTAAGCTCCCATCTCTTCATGCACAGGTTTTAGGCAAAAAGTACATTAGGCTTTACGATGCTTCGTTGTCCGAGGAACTTTACCCGTACACTGAAACTATGCTTTGCAATTCCAGCCAGGTAAACCAATCTGATAAGACAAACGTTTATGTTTTTAGCTTTTACACGACGATGAGATCGATTCGTGCTTACAGTACAAGTCTTACTTTGAAGGTCGATCTGGACAACATCGACAAGAAAGAGTTTGGAAAGGTGGTGGACTTGGAGTTTGTGGACTGCATTCTAGAGGAAGGGGAGATGCTTTATATCCCACCAAAATGGTGGCACTATGGTCGATCCTTAACCACTAGCTTTAGTGTTAGCTTTTGGTGGAACAATTGTGATGAAAATTCAAGTGCTTCCTGATATTAAATTAAAATGCCATTTTGTTCTTCATTGTTAGCCTCTAATCATATGATATTATAGCTTCCATACCCACATAAGATGGTGCCTTTGATACCTAGGACAGATTTGTCACAATGTCAGTGTAGATAATGTATTGATCAATGCGCTTTTGAAAGCCGTTGTTCTTGATGCAATTGATATCGATTTGGCCTCAATTAGTTGTCTGTTTGTAACTTTGATTTGTGGGATCTGCCTCTCTTTGTGACAGTTCATAATTTTTGGGATGCAGATGGCTATCAATGACCCAAAACACTAACAAAGTGAGTTTAAATTCATTGCCCTCGCTAGATTAACTCAAAGCTCGGCCTCTCTCCCTCGTTGATTGATCGTTTGATCACTATTGACTTTGTTTCTTCGTAGTTGTTCAGTCACATCTCTTTGTTCGTCTATCATATGTCCGAACATGTGTCTCTGAACTGTCACCATCTCTGTGGTTAATCAGTATCCAAGGAAGTTGTTGTTGCATCTCAAGCAGAATCGTTGTAGCTCGCATTCAAAGCCTCTAATTATTGTAGGCTTTGAACTTTTCTTTAAGCCTAGACCTATATATCGATTATGCAATAGATACTACAGTATGACACGATTTTCTAAACAAAATCTAGATATGTGATACAATTTGTTATTCGTAGCATATTATATTTATGATTATGTATGTGTCTCTCAATGATTCTAGGTATGATCAACCCACATATGTATCGTAGTTGGTTCAGCCACGTAGTTACTCCCATCATATTTATGATGTTATCATACTACTAGAGGATTGCCAACCAACCTTTGTCGAGAGTCGGTCTATTATGGATGGCTCACATTGAGATAATTACCTAATTGCATACCAGGTTTCAAGATAAGTATAATTAGACGATCAAGCACTAAGTAACAAGAGCTTACATTATTTCTAAGTAATTGAGATAAATATCTAATATTTTTTATTCACTTATTCTCGACTCTTTTCTTTTTCAGATAATACATGAGTCTATTGTCACAACAAAGGATCGACCATAAATGTGACTTTTAAGATTAAATTTTGAAAATGTTTAATTGGTCCTTAAACTTTGTATTTAATGGATCCAAATTTCGTCCCCTAAAATTTATAAAAATTAATTGAACTAATAAATATAAAATTAAATTTTATATCTAATAATCCTTAAACAATATAGTTGTAAATTTAAAAAAAATATTAAATAAATAAAAGACTTATAAGGTATAAATTGAAAATTTTAAAAACTTATTACACCATGAGTCAAATTAAAAGAAAAAAAAAATCTTTTAAATGGTAAGTTCCAAATAAAAACTTCAATTTATAATTTAAACCAATAAAAAAATTACTAATTATGAACATGATGTGACATCTGAAATCCCGTTGGTTCACAAATATCATGCAGATCGCGATCCGCGAGACACAAAACAGCAGCCGTCCATAAGCAGTCAAATTCAACGGTCCAGATTGACTCCAAACCAAAAACACTTACAAAAAACTTTCCCGCCTCTTCAAAAACCCTCCTATAAATAAACCAAAACTCCTCCCCTTTCATCATTCATAGTTCTTCAATACCGAAATCTCTCAAGTTTCGTTGAGAAATTCAATCGGAAATCTCTGTTAATCAATAAAGTTATCAAGCAGATCGAATTGCTTGGAAGAAGATGGCGAGAACAAAGCAGACAGCCAGAAAATCGACGGGAGGAAAGGCGCCTAGGAAGCAGTTGGCGACTAAGGCGGCGAGGAAGTCGGCTCCGGCGACCGGAGGAGTGAAGAAGCCGCACAGATTCAGGCCAGGGACGGTGGCGCTGAGGGAGATCAGGAAGTACCAAAAGAGCACGGAGCTTCTGATCAGGAAGCTTCCGTTTCAGAGGCTAGTGAGGGAGATCGCTCAGGATTTCAAAACCGATCTTCGGTTTCAGAGCAGCGCCGTTGCGGCTCTTCAGGAAGCCGCCGAGGCGTACCTGGTAGGGTTGTTTGAGGATACGAATCTTTGTGCTATTCATGCGAAGAGAGTTACTATTATGCCTAAGGATATTCAACTTGCTAGGAGAATTAGAGGCGAGAGGGCTTAATGTAGGATTTGGTGATTCTCTGACAGGATTCATGTAATTTCTGAAAATTTGGAACGGAATTCAAGCAAATTGAATTTGTGTTTCAGATGTTTGTTTCTGATCTGTTGTCTACTGCACTAAACTTTGCGTTCCGTATAGCATAAGAGAATTAGGGTTCTTATTCTTAAGAAGAAATTAAAGCTGAATCTAAGCTGAAATTCATGCAATTTCATCCCTACATAATGGCTGGGAGTTGTAGAATTGGCTGAAGCTTCTGTGAAATGGGTAATTGGATATAGCAATTCAGCTTCAAATGGATCAAATGTAAGATTCCATCCTCTTGGCTAATTATTGGTATATCCATGTTTATGCATCCTCCATAACTGGTTGAAATGGAAGAAGGATTAGTCTATGCTATTTTTCGAATAGAGATCTACATAGGTTTATACGATGATTTGATCTCTTTTTAAACACTTTTTTTCATTCTCTTAAAGATTGAATGCTTAAATTGCCTGTGTGTGTGCATATTTGAACGATTTTCATTCATATATCTAAGAGGTGATATATGAGAGATAGCTAAATGGCTCTTTGTCCATATATTTGGTGCTATTATGAGATAGATGCTAACTCTAAACATAACACAGTATGCTCTGCTTAATCTAGACAACATATGAGGATTCAGTGTTTAAAACAAGAAATAGATCTATATACATTGGGCTTTGGAAGAGCATACGAAGCAAATCTCAAGGCATTTTCTGATTACTCGACAGTGATGGCTTCTTCGAGTTTCGAATATTTGATGTTCTTTAACATTCTCCATCAAACTTAATAGATGGCGCCCATTTTGGCTTCAAATAGTAGTTGAGAAGTTGTATAGCCCATCTTGGCTTCTAACATGATGGGTTCTTTTGTGAAATCATGATCCACGATCGATGAATTCTAAAAGTTGTTGGATGAAAGTCCCACTCCACTCATTTAGAGAATAAGGAATACTCTCTCGGTTGGCATGAGGTCTTATGAAGCCATGAGAGCTTATGTTCAAAGTAGACAATATCATACCATTGTAGAGAGTTGTGTTTATCTAACCATTAGGACTTAGACAAAAGGAGAGCCACAAATGCAACAAATTACCTAGCATGGGTTTTTCTAATGTTCGTAGATGCTTAGGTATTGTCTCTGATGAAACGGAGCTTTAATTTGAGTTCGCCAAGTACCTTGTTCTTCTGCATCGGACCTTTTCTCCACTTTTAGAGTTCACAGATTCATATGGCTTCTCTCTGGCTGTTCGTAGGCTTGCACTTCTAGCGAGTGTGGTTTGTGAATTGTGATCGATTGGGATTTGGGACTTCATGAGCCGTTTTCCCGCCACTCAGCATTTTGCTAAACCGCACGGGTGCTAAATGTTAACAATAGCTGGGATGTGAAATTACTCATTTAACCCCTGAAGTTGTCTCAAAGATCTCGATTTTGAAACGATCTCGTAAATGATTCAAAACTTTTGATTCATTATAAGCTTTTTATAAAAGTTGGGACTCGATGACCTGAAATGGTCTCTGTGAGATCCTACCTCTGACAAGAAAACTAAACATTTATTTACAAAGTCTTGGGCTTATTCTGACATCTAAAGAGGACAATATAGTTTGAGCTGTTATAGTATGATGAGCGTTTGATTTATAATTTTCATCTATCATTCTGCGTCATTTCTGTTTCAAATATAATTTTGAAATGTTTATGAAAAGTCAACGATGATATAGAAACTTTTGAGAATATGTCATATGTTAGAAGCTTTTGTTATGTCAAAGATACATGCTCGGGCTTTGCACATGTAGTATGTCTGTGATTGGATGTGTTTATAATATGCTATGTCTATAATATGATACACTTTGAGATATGATACATGTAACATGATATGTTTTATGATATGATACATGTATGATATGACACGATATGATATGATGTTTGACATGACATAAATGACATGTGATAAAATGTTTTGACATGATGTACAACCCCAAGACATGTTTTTGAAAGCTATGATGTAAAATGATTCGATATGAGGGAAAATAGGAAGGGGTTGCTTCACACGGGTTAATTAATGGGGATTGGGACCTCATGCATTAGTGTATGTCACATGCATCGGGGTATTACCCCCTTATGATGAGTACTGACGCGTACATTATGAAAAAGAAAAACGATCATTATGTTTAAAATGATGCTTTGATGGTCGCTATTCATTCCGAGTGTCTGGCAACAACACTGGAGAATGCTAGCCCGACTCGAACAGGGTTTGAAGGTGTGCAGACCGATTGGTGGGTTCGTTCATATTCACACATATAAACCGTGTGTAGAATAGTAAATACACATCTATTGACCCAGTTAGGATATTCACCTAAGGAATACGACTTTAAAATGATAGGTCTCATTCATGTAGCATGTCTTGCATTTCCTAACCCCAATTCAATGGGGCCACTTACTATTTCTTAAAATAATCACGCCACGTGTTACTTCTATATTTTAGGTAAAGACAAAACACCCATGCATCGTTGTCGACGACATCACAAAGTAAAAACTATGACACATGCATATGATTGTCGCATATAATTTCATAGACCTTAGGATAACATATAGCCTTGTTTTATGAAAACGTTTTAAATGAATATTTCCACACAACGTATTACATCATGCATGTAGTAGCAACTTTATGCATGTGGTAGCGACTTTAGGTTAATAGAAAACTAGAGTCGTTACATGCTCTTTGATCAGTGATTAATGAACCACTAGATCAATAAGACTCTCTTAAAAAACTCTCTTTGATCAACGATTCACCGGCCATTAGATCCAACCACCTTATTTTAAACCTAGCGACTCAATTGATTGGCACTCTCATAGGCTTATCTTGCATACAAATTCTAGGAGTTCTAAAATCTTAATTCAACGTAGGATTTGTGCTTTTAGTTGACACTATTTCCTATGTAATCATAAAGGGCCAAAAGTAATATTCAATGTTTGGTACCAAATAATACAAACTCAATTCTTTAAGGAAAACTTGAATGTTAATTTTCCAAAAGTGATCAACAACCTTTGTAGAATCACTTTTAAATGTAACTTACCCAAATAGATTTAGCAATTAAATTCACTTCTAATAAAGAAAGTGTACGTAACTCGAAGTGCTTCCCTCAATCAAAACTAAAAGGGGTAAGTCATAAATATGAATTACTAAAGGAATGTTCTACTTCTACAGTCATAAACTGACATTTACAGAAACTTTTAATGGCTATTTTCCAACCATAACCATAACTACATTCCAAACCCTTCAAATCCAAATATATACGTAAACAAAGCTGCCTTGAGAACTCACATCAAGGGTATCAATCAATCTGTCTCTAGAAACTTAATTGCATTGGCAACCAATCCAGCATGAATCCAGGGATATAATCAACAGGGAAACAATACCAAATATATACATTTAATGAAGAATTGACCGCAAAGGCT